TGTAACTAGATATTTGTTCAGTGGGGTAATTACAAGCTGAAACTATATGGGGGAGTCAGGATAACCAGATTTGTGAATCTTAGGCAATAAGTAGATAATTCCTGTTCTAAGGTGTTTTTTAATTACGTTTTTGGCATTATATAGATGTTTACTGCATTTTACAAGTTCTTGAATGGTTTTCTGAATGTGTTTCTAATATTCAGGAACTGGATATTTGTCGAGTATCTTGTATAAGTTGGGATTTTTCAGTTGTCTGAGGGCTTTTTGTATGTAAAGATCGCGTTGCCACACGACCACAGTTGCCCCTTTGTGGGATGGTTTAATTATTATGTTCTTGCGATTCTTGAGTGAAGATAAGGCATTTCTTTTTTCTTTATTCATATTGAGTCGTAGAGTTTTTGCTTAGATTTAGTGCATGGATTTCAGATAAATGAAGGTATCAAGAGTTTTTAGTTCTCTTCTGGAGGTGCCCGTTTGTGCAGTTTCGGCTCAAGTGACTTAAAAATGTCACGTATAGAGTCATATGTAGTACAATCGACAGTATTGGTGTTTATAGAGACGGGATCAGTGGTAGTTGTTTGATTGGCTGTTTCGTTCGCGATGTCGGTGGGTGTTGAATAAACAGTAGGTTTAGTAAAAATAAATAAAGTGATTTCTGGCTGCAGCGTCTGAAAAATGTTTATATATCAGCTTTAAGAGCGTATTCATCAGTTTTGAACACGAAAAGGCGCAAAATGTAGTCTTTTAGATATCATGCTTCGTTCGGTATCGGAAAAGGGAAGGTTAAGTGTTTAAGTTGACAGCGACCGTTTCCACTGTAGGTCAGGTGATGTCTCGAGGTTACAAACTCCTTGATATTGAATGGGAATAACAAATAGTGGAGTAGGTAGCATAAACGTCTTGCAACAGACCTTCCTCCAGTAAAGGGGCTATCTTCTGTCCAAAAATCCATATCTTACTGTATTTGTGAGTTAAAGACGGTTTCATTGTGTTTTACAATGTGTCCAGTCTCTTTATTTCTCAAAATCAGGTTCAGAGAATTAGGATTTATTTCGTAATATACTTCCTGTTAGAACCTCTTGTTATTCTATGTATCCTTATCTTTTTACCCTTGAGGGAAATCGGTTTTACCTGAAAATACCGCAGTTGTATAAAATAACAAATACTGTGCATATTTATCTTAATCATTCCCAATAATAATACGTACAGTGTACATTTATCTTAACCATTCCCAATAATAACACGTACAGTGCATATTTATCTTAACCATTCCCAATAATAACACGTACAGTGTACATTTATCTTAACCATTCCCAATAATAATACGTACAGTGTACATTTATCTTAATCATTCCCAATAATAATACGTACAGTGTACATTTATCTTAACCATTCCCAATAATAACACGTACAGGGTACATTTATCTTAATCATTCCCAATAATAATACGTACAGTGTACATTTATCTTAATCATTCCCAATAATAATACCACTGTACGTGTTATTATTGGGAATGGTTAAGATAAATGTACACTGTACGTGTTATTATTGGGAATGGTTAAGATAAATGTACACTGTACGTGTTATTATTGGGAATGGTTAAGATAAATGTACACTGTACTACATTTATCTTAACCATTCCCAATAATAACACGTACAGTGTACATTTATCTTAACCATTCCCAATAATAACACGTACAGTGTACATTTATCTTAACCATTTCCAATAATAACACGTACAGTGTACATTTATCTTAACCATTTCCAATAATAACACGTACAGTGTACATTTATCTTAACCATTCCCAATAATAACAAGTACAGTGTACATTTATCTTAACAATCCCTATTAATAATACATGCAGTGTATGCTTTTCTTACCAATGCCTATTAACAGGAAATACAGTTCGATTTTATTGAAACAAACTTTATTTGTAGTTTTACTCCAACAGAGAAGATCCAAAGAAAATTCTTTTTGCGTTTTAAACGTCACAAATTAAACTAAGAAATAAATTTAAAAATTCAAAACTAGTTATATTTGTACTAATATTTAATAAATATTAATAAATGAGCAACCCATTCATTATAAAGTATTTTATTGGTTAGTTTATTTACAGTCTCAGAACTGACAAGCATTTGTATGATCTAATATAGAAAGTCAATGCAAGTCTACGCTAAAATCCAGGGTTCAATTCATCGCGGTGTGCAAAAGTCAGAACAAGATATTAACACGAGGTAAATTTCAGTCAAAAAAGAAAACAGGACACAAGCTGACATATACTTTTACAAACACAGAATTAAAGAACAGTTAAAATAAGCCTTCTCTTAAAAACTGTATTTCGCTAGCGGCAAAATGTGAACACACAAAAACGAGGTCACATTCTCCTTACGCACCTACGCAATTGTTTTAGTTGTTGAATTCTTCCAATGATCACCAAATTATTGGTTCAAAGCTATGTTTTGTACTTGGAAATTTATTTTAAACCATCTAACACAAACACATTACAATGAATGTACAGTTCTAGTTTTCATTGCTACTGATTATTGCTGCAGCCCATATGTCAAAGAAAGTCTAAATGCAAAACTGTATCTGACAAGATTAAAATCAATTACAATCAATTTTAAGACTTGAATCTTCTAAATCCAATCCACTAGTGTTTCCGATATTAATAAAATTTGTTTGTTGTTAAGCACAAAGCTACACAAAGTGCTATGTGTGCTATGCCCACCGCGGACATCCAAACCCGATTTCTTGAGTTATAAGCCTTCATAATTACCACTGGGGGCATTAAGAAAACAATTAATTAGCAATTTTAAGAACTGAATCCTGCTAAATGCTCAACACCACAATAAACACAAGTTAAGCTGCACCTAGCAAATCAAATGAAAACAATGTAAACTGTTGTAAAAGCTTCACGGCTGTCAGTCACTTTTAAATACATTTTATATTGACGTGATTATTAATAGATGGAGATTTTTTCGAATTTTCATGACCTTGCTGTGACATTATCTTTGACCTTCCAAAAACTAATCACTTCCAAGTTGGGATATAGTCCAAACGTATAGCAACATTCAGCCGTTACCTTGCTGAACAAGGGTGAAAATCTAACCTTCGATGGCGGAGTTAACTATGTAAAGAATTAAAGATTCATAGTTGCCTGTAATTTTTAAATATATCTTATAATGGCGTAATACTTAACAGAGAATAATTTTTTTCTATTTTTTTTTTTACACTCTTAAAATAAAGTAGTCGCCGTTGATTATATGGTCAAATTTGTTACTAAATACAAGAAAAGCAGTAAAAGCCTAGTGATTCATTAACTATAACCACAATAGTCTTTACCTGGTAGTTATAACCTTAAAGATTGTATGTAGCTTGGATTTTATGACCAATTTTGTATTCATGACAACGGACAAGAATGCGCAACCTTTGAGTTAAAATCAAAGAACAGGAAAAGTACGAATTTAAGAAAAAAATAGAGACGGTGGAAAGACTGTCACACACATACGTGTGTGTGAAATGTACGGTGGGAATCCTACTTTTGTCTTTCTGCACAAGCCACATAAAAGAAGCCTCTTTTAGGATATTACATACAGAATTTTTTTTCGCTTGGTAACATGGCATGCAGTTGATAAATGTTTATTATTTTTGTTACAATATTTAAAAAAAAGTTTAATAATTCTTAGTCTGTTAGCTTTAGTATTGAGACTATCATGACATGCCAAATTCTATTCACTGTAGGCCTATCTCATAAATCACAAGTTCATGCTTCATTCCACATTTATAAATATA